TGGGGGAGGGAGGGGAGTTTTAGGGCTCATATATTTGAAGGTTTACAGCATTTTGTAGTGTAACAAACAAAAGAGCACTTAGGCATAAAATTTTATTTGGTCCATAAGAAAATTTCAGTGTGGATAATGGACAAAAAAGTGAAATACCAAAGAATATACAACAACTTCGTACAGCACAACGGTATGTAAAAAAATGAAACTAAACCTCTTTACTCCAGTGATAAACTATTTAGTTCCAAACTTACAACTGCGAATCAAAAAACGGTGGGCACCTAGAAATATTCCAAGAATGTTCTATTGTTCTTTGGCCAATCAGAATTGACTTTGTAACCACAAGATAACGGAAAGATGACAGCAACGTTTCTGATTGGTTAAGAAACATTCTTGAAATATTTCTAGGTTACCCACGGCTTTTCAATTTGCACTGTGTTTGCAGTTTCCTTGTAATTTAATTGTTGTATTGAACACACAAACACAAACCCAACTAGTCGTTATCAGTTTAACAACATTCTGATTGGTTGTATTTTCTATGGTATGGGATACAGGATAATATATTACCTTTCCCAGCCTGTGCCTTTACTTCCTCCACTTGTTCAGTGACCCCTTTCATTTCTACTGATGCCTAAAAACATAGTCAGACATGGATACATAAAGCACTAAATATATAACCAATCTAAGCTAAATACAATACTTCATTTTACAGTTCCATTCAGTGACCACGAATAATAGTTCCTAGCTAAGCCGAGGCTGGAGTTACTGTGCATGATAAACCGTAGTTTTGCTATGCGCAGAAACTCCAGCCTTGACTAGGAACCATTATTTGTGGTTACTGAATGGAACTGTAAAATAGTATATTATTTTATTTACAGTATCTGATAGGATAATAACACTCTGTTGCACAAAGAAAAACATTGTTCACTCAAGCAATGCAAATTCCAAACACACTCATAAGTAATGTTTGCATGCATGAAATGCTACACAAGCTCAGTAGTTGTTTGTTCACATCCAAAAAAAATTTGGGCAACTGCAACAGTCCAACTTGATCAACACTAGATAATTATCTCATTCAAACCTTTTCAAGTTCTTGTCTCAGCATTTGTATTTGCTCATCTTTTTCCATCAAAGCCTAACGGATCAACAATTTGAAAAAATCATATCACACTCCAATATGGCTCATGGGAATGATAACATTCCACTCAAAGAAAAATGAGTGTATCCACCCCTACTGCTATGACTGCCTGTCAAATTATCCCGTGTTACATTCCTGTGAGTGTACTCTATATGTGGGATTGAAATGAAGAGAGACGAAACATATTTTTCTACAGCGTAACATCATTTGAAAAACTTCAATAACAAGTGCTAGTGCAACAATGAACTTAAAAGTACTGCTGAACTAGTCAGCTCCCAGTGATGAAATAGGACCAAGACCAAGGGATTGACCATGCAAGTACCATGGCAAATAGACCTCCTCGGCTCATATTTTTCCCATTTCAGATCACATCATTCCTTTGAGAATAAAATATCTTTGTTTGAGATATATCCATATTCATTTGTCTTCCCATGCTCAACCCTTAAACAAAGAAATGATGCTCTAGGGAATGACACATGGTCTGAAATGGGAAAACATTACGCCTGAGCCGAGGAGGTGTATTGGCTCAAAGCCTGAGGATAATAATTTAATACTCTAGAGGTTTGTTTCGTACCTGTTGTAGCATGGCCATTGATGATCTATCAGAATCCATTTCCAGTCCAGTAACTCTTTGTCGTAGTTCGCTGATGATACCTTTGTGCTGCTCTATCTCTGCCTCTTTTTTTGCCAGGACAGCCTATTTGTCAATGTGCAGATAATCAGTCAGTCAGTGAGATGGACAGGTGGGAGGAATGGATTTACAAAGACCAGGAGAAAGATGAACTGATAGATAGACAAAGGGATGGATGAAAAAAGCAAGGGAGGGAAGGATGAACTGCCAATGGCCAAAGGTGAAAATAACGATACACTGCCAAATGGATAATAAAATGGCACACAAAATTTACTGGAATGACCTCCTTTTGGCATGCTCCTTTACTATGGTAGGCTACAATTTTTTTTCTATTTCGAGCCCTGGACACACTGACAGATGGAGGATAGATGGATTAATGAAATGACCAATGAGCAAATAGATATGTTAGATGGGCTAACAGAAACCAGATGGTTAAAAAAGAACATACCTTCCATTCTTCTACTTTCAAATTGACAGCCATCATAATCTGGTCATCGGCATCAGTTTTCGTCGAGACCTGGACTCTCAGATCTTGAACCTTACAATGACAACAGTATGACACTTAAACAACAGACATATTTTACGTCAAATAGTTGGACAAAATAATTCCATCATCACACCTGTGCTCTCAGAGCATCTCTTTCTCTTCTCATTTCATCCAAGATCAGATCAGATTGCTGTAAGATTAACTTGAAAATCACAAAAAAATGTTAGTTCATCTCATTAGATTGCCTTGAAAATAAGGTAAAAAATATTATGTACTTATTGACTGAGTGGGAGGGCCATATGAGAAAATATTCGGCTTGAGGTGATGTCGTACGGACCAAGCGCAGCGAGGTCCATACAAATGACCGAGAGCCAAATTTTTTCCCTGACGTCCCGACCTAACTCAGACAATAAGCATTTTATCCTATGACCAGGCAATAAAAAAGATATTTCAAAAGTTACAAATTATGTCAATACAGTTGCAGGTTTCGAGCAGGACCATATGGATTCGTACGGCCCTGCTCGCTCAAAGCCGTACAGCCCTGCTAACACAATTTTCCCGAAGTTTTTTTCCAAGAGCGCGCGCCCACTTTCACGAAAGTTCATGCACTATTCACGTAATAGAACTATTCTGTAACCTACTTTCAGTTTAGTATATTCATCTGTCATTTTGTCCATTTCAGCTGCCGATTCCTGTAGTTCTTTTTTGACATTACGGAACTGTTCACCAAGGGCTTCATTCTCTTCCTGAAGAAGCTAGTGTGACACAAAAGTTGGTTAGTACAAAAGTTATAAAATTTCGGACACTAGATATAAGGTAATAGACATCACATTATATATTAATAATAATAAAATTCTGTGATATTTGGCATTGTACCACTACAATAGCTCACTTTCAAGATGTGCTTTCCCTTGTCACACACAAAGCTGTCATTGTGAGGCTTCGTGCATAATGCTCAGTGATTCATGACGAGATAAAAGAATTAATTTAATTTAGCACGAATCCTCGTACTGAAACCTTTGTGCATGACAAGCGAAGCATATCTCAGAAGTGGGCTATTATCTGTAGTTAAATATGGGCAAACTGGTACCGGCAAACTGAAGAAACTTTTAGATGGTTAACACAGCTTAAGATAACAGCTTAATATAAGATACCTTAATTTCATCCAAGTACTCAGACARCTCTTTGTTCTTCTTGGCAACTGTACTTTTTATGTCTCCATCTCCACCTCTTCGCATTGCCAGAGTCTCACGCTGCACAAGGAAGATATATTAAATAATGGTTAATGGTCTACAGTATATATTTGCCTGAAGTTGTTTTGCCCTGCTATTTTTGTGTCCATAGAGTATGATACAATCTACATTGTAAAGCTTATAATAAGATTGCTAGTTAGGCATTTAACTTAACTGATCCACTGAATACTAATACATTTCCAATGATCAGTTGCCCAAAATTGTACTCAGGTTGCAGCCCCCAAAAAATCTCTCCTTATCTAAGCTGTCCCATCATTAGGGGACACCACTAGACTCTCTGGACTTTCAGGAATGTTTTGGAGTAGATTGTTATAAGTCTGTAGCAGTTGGCTTATATTGAAAAAAATAATGATAATTCCTTAATAAGAAAGAAAAAGTAGCCGGCAGTTAACTTCAAAGCATTGGCCAGATCTACGCAGAAAACAAGTTTTTAAAGGTCGAGAAAAAAAAATAGCTAAATTACATTCCCCTTAATTTTGTTCCATTTTTTTAGTCTAGTTTTTAAAAAGCAAATTTATTCCTTCAAATCAAACATTTTAAAATAATAATTAAATATATTAAGTATTAAAAATAAAATAAAGGGGGCTAAACAAACCTGCTGTTCAATCTGTCTCTGTAAATCCCTGCCATCCATTCGTGATCTTTCAAGCTAAACATTAATATTTAAAAATTATTGCAGTTCAGGTAATTCTTAGCTGGGAATATAGATTATTTTTTATGAATTAATGTCAAGTGACCCAGAGTCAAGTCGCCCGGAGTCAAGTAGCCCGGAGTCAAGTACCCAGAGTCAAGTCTGAGTCAAGGCACTCGGAGTCAAGTCGCCCAGAGTCAAGTCAGAGTCAAGTCACCCTCAATTTACATATGGTCAAGTCGCCCAGAGTTTTTTACTTAAGGGAATTGTCGAACCAGTAACACATTGATAAAATTAATTTAGTTTATTGAGCTTATAATCAGATGGATCTATACTGTAATTGGGGGGGGGGGGGGTATAGCAAGGTGGTTACAGCAGGCATTCTACAGAATTCATGTCTGGCCTTGCCACTCACCTCTCGTTTTAGATTTCTGATATCTTTTTCCATCTCTCCTACTTTAACGCTCAGCTGAAAGACAAAAGATAGATTCAAATGTNTTAATTTCATCCAAGTACTCAGACAACTCTTTGTTCTTCTTGGCAACTGTACTTTTTATGTCTCCATCTCCACCTCTTCGCATTGCCAGAGTCTCGCGCTGCACAAGGGAAAATACATAGAATAATGGCAATTAAATATTTCAAAAGTATAGTTTAATAAATAAGGAGTGTTTTACCACGAGGCATAGCCAAGTGGTCTTAGACCTGATAAGACACAATCTGCCAGTTTATTGAATGACTTCAATAACGGTTTAATGATGACATATCTACAGGGTAGCTCTACATTCATCAAACATGTCCAGCCCTAATTATTAGTGACATGCTCTTGTACTCCTTTGGTCCTTTATAAAGATTTCAAAATCTTTATATAAAGATATCCATGTTGAACTATTATCAGGTATAAAGACTCATGCACGTGATGGATTTGAAGGACCTGATAGGTCTAAATGCCCATTAATTATTTATGAATTTTTAAATAGTAATTAAAGTATTAGAAATAAATATAAAGAGGGCTAAACAAACCTGCTGTTCAATCTGTCTCTGTAAATCCCTGCCATCCATTCGTGATCTTTCAAGCTAAACATTAAGATTTAAGAATTGCAAATCAGGTAATTCTTAGGGAATTTAGATTAATTTTTATGAATTACAGTCAAGTTGCCTGAGAGCAGGGCCATAGCCACCGGTACGGTTGGTCTGGTTTCGACCGGACCAACTTTTGGGAAAAAAATATAAGAAAAATATTTCTAAAATGTAAAATGAAAAATGTAAGAAAAACCAAAAACCCTCGAAAACCGGACCAATCAGACATTTGTGGCTACGGTCCTGGAGAGTCAAGTCGCCCGAGAGTCAAGTCGCCCAGAGTTGTGGTCAAGTTAAGGAATTGTCAAACCAGTAACACATTGATAAAGTTAATTTAGTTTATTGAGCTTATAATCAGATGGATCTATACTGTAATCAGGGGGGTGGAGGTATAGCAAGGTGGTTACAGTAGGCATTCTACAGAATTCATGTCCAGCCTGGCCACTCACCTCTCGTTTTAGATTTCTGATATCTTTTTCCAACTCTCCTACTTTAACACTCAGCTGAAAGACAAAAGATAGATTCAAATGTCAATATGAGTGTTGGCGTATAATCAGAGCAAAGCATAACAGTACTCTAAAAACTATTAATCACTTGGTGAGTTTTTTGTTTACTACCACAGCAGAGTTGTACTACCTTGTCTGCTTTATCCTTTTCTTCATATAAAGCTTCATCTTTGTCATGTATATCTTGCTCCAAGATCTACAAAATTAACAAAAGGTGTTATCAAAATGATCGCGGATTAAATGAATGCATGCATAATAATGCAATTTCGCAATTGCAATTGGGATTGCAATTTTTAAATTTATACTTACTATCATAATACGTATCACCTAACCTACTGTATTATTTGGTTGTTTTATTTTTTAAACATTCAACTCACCCTATTTCTATTTGACAAGTGTTGAATTTCTCTCATAAAGTCGTCTCCACCAGCCCCTGCGTGTCTCTACAGAATCAAAAATAACTCCATTTTTAGCTTCTCAAACTACTGTACACCTGAAGGCCATAGAACTTGACCAGGCAAGTTCCAATTCTGGCCGGACATTGTCGAGTGACTGGCATTAAATTTTAAGCCCTGGGGGAGGGGCTTATAACTTATAAACTGGGAATTTATGGCTGAGACAATATTTGCATTATCAGGTTATACAGGGTTCGTGCCGAGATAACCACTTAAAATTCAAGGACTATTCAAGGAGTATACAAGGACCCAAAAATGAATTTTCAAGGAGTATGTTCAGCTAACTATGCCAAGGTTTTACGCGGTGGTTGCACATGGCTGCCTTTCAGATTTTCCAATCTTTCTGACTAGATCTATTTCAGAACCATGCAAGAAATGATCAAAGCAAAAATTCAAGGAGTTTTCAAGAAGTTTTGATAAAATCATAAAATTCAAGAGCTTTTCAAGTTTCCTTGAAAACGTGAATTAAATTCAAGGAGTTTTCAAGGAGTTTAAGGAGTAGCACAAACCCTGCTTATAATTGTCAGAATCAAAAGAACTCATAATTAAAATTTTAAATCACCCTTTTTACAAGGTTATGTATTCATTTTTTAAAAAGTCATTTTGAAGAAGCATTACTTACACGGTATTGTTCTAGTTCTCTTTTGAGAAGCTCATTTTCATCAATAAGACTTTGATCTAAAAGATAAAAAGATCCTGTTAAATAAAATAACATGGTGAACAGACATACTGATAGAGCATTTTCACGTGACATCACAGCGGCCATTGTGGGGTACCAAAACAATACAATTTCTATCCTACGGGAATTAAGCTCTATTTCTATGCAAATACTGTGCAGAAAGTTTATATTGTTTATGGCTGCCCTATCACGTGAGTGAAAACACTCTATTGGATCCTTAAAGTCTCATTTATAAAAATTAATGCCACAATTAAATTTTGTTTTCTGATTGGCTGAAATTACATAGTTTATTAGTGAATACAAATAATAATAATTTAACAGTAATAAATATCTTAACTTATATTCAATATATATGAAAATATGCAATACTCAATACCATAATTTTCTATTGTGCATTACAGTAAGCATGCTAGCATTAAATTATATTTCATCATTTGTATCCAAAAGGATGGCAAATATTATTTGTATTTTAAATTTAAAAAAATAAAGGTCTTGCTTAATGTGCCATGTGCAGTCATAAAGCACTTGGAGATTTACAGAACACTTCAGAAGTGTCGAGAAGACAATATCACAGAGTCTCAAGAAGCATGCACGTTCTGCAGATCCTGGTACTTAATATGCTTCATAACTGCACATACTGTAGAATGCATGCGCATTTTGTAAATTTTATTTACAAACCTTTCATTACTTTTGCAGCTTCCTCCTCTGCTATTTCAGCTTGCATATCCTTAATCTTAAAAAAGGGGGGATAAATAATGAAAAGATATGAAACGACCTCACATTAAATATAAACATATACAACTGGGAGCACTGCAAAATCAGAAATAGTCACAAAATAATTAATAACAGTCCAGGGTTGTCAATAAAATTTTTGGTAGGCGCTTAGGAAATTAAAATGGGCGGTAAATCGGAAATCACTGGAGCATGTAATCGAGGCATTTTTGTCACCAGTCTCACTCTTCTCACCAAAATTCAAGATGGAGGACAAGGATTGTCGCAGTTTCAATTGCGTTGCAGTTTTTGTAGTACAGCAACAAAGATTGGGTTAAAATTTATTTTAACGAACTTTAAAGAACTTTAATCAAAATTTACAATTACATTGGGAATTGGCTGAGTAGGCGGCAGAATTAGCAAGAGTAGACAGTGGAATCTGCCGGTTGCCAGCTTCTATTAAAAACCCTGACAGTCACGACGTGTGGCAATGGACTACAGTCAATCAAATAAAATCATTAGAGTACCTTCTCATAGTCCCCATGTACCTTTATGTACTCTAGCGATTTATTTCATTGACGGTAGTGTAATAATAATGATAATCTAATAATAATAATAGTAAATCCTTTATTTAACAAGGGTCGCAATACATGTAGCAAAAACTATGCTAATAAACCTGTGGCCCTCTAGTGATGTACATGTATTGCCTGATTTCCATGTCGTGACTGTTATCTCAATCAGCGCAGGCTAATGGTGTTGAGATTATGGGGGGAGAGGAGGGTGATGTTGTTTACTAAGGCTGCATTCATAATGTATGGCAGGGGGGGGGGCAGGTAAAATTTTTTTGTCATTTAAAGATTTCACCTGCCCCCACCCCCCCTCCTCTGCCATACATTATGAATGCAGCCTAAACATGTTTCCATGACATTTCATACAGAGGCAGGTGCTCTTGAAAATCTTTGCGTTTTCCAACAATGTCATGGACAAGAAAGACTTTGATTGACATTCATCAAATTTATATTTACATATTTTTG